TGTGTTTGGGAGTGCTTTACTTTTAAAATATCCATCTAATACAACCTCACGAAGTTGTTATTTACAGATTTTCACCTTCAGTCATAAAATACTTTCAAAAAATTTTATCTCGTGTTTAACTGGAAAAACAATTATTACAGTCAGCTTTTATGAATTATCAAAATGATACAGATTCATTCATTCAGGGTTATATCCATTTGAAACAGCTGCCACCATGGCACCAGGAATTATTTCTAAGGGAATGACACTGAGAAAATGATGAACAATTTTAAAAACTAATTCCATTTGCTGTGATTTAAGTTAATATGTAATTAATTGTGCTATTCCAATTAATCTTCCAAGACTTTTATGGTAGATGATAATTATCATCTCCCTTTTTACAAATGAAGAAACTATTTACAAATGAAGAAAATATTACTACTTTAACCAATCAATTATCAACATAGAAAGGAGTCTAACTTAAAAAACTGTTCACAAATGCAGTACTGCTTCTCATTACTGGTGAAATTTCAACTAGTATTTTTGGCCTAAATATGGTGCAATATTGCCAAGTCAATCACTTTTAGAATTGCAGTACAACTTAAGTTTACTTCACAGCAAAAGTGTCACAGATGTGTTCTGCAGCAAAACCATTCAAAGATCACTATTAAAACATCTCCACGATTCAGCATCTGAACTAATTGTTAATAACAGTACTCATTATCTCTCAACAAAATTCAGTCCTCCACCCTCCTCTTTGCTGGGGGCCTGAGATGGGTACCACATCCATCCAGTCACTCATCCTAACCACCTTTCTCTCCTTTAATCCCAAATCTAACCAACACATCAAGCCAACTTAATCAACTAAGTATGTCTTGAATTTCCCTTCTATCTTTAGTCCTGCCACAACTGCCTAAGTGGTTCGGCCCCACGCAGCTCTTATCTAGATCAACACATGCCTCTTAACTGTTCTCCTTGCCGGTAATTTTGCCCATTCCTGATGATTTGTCAGATCAGCAATCCCAGCTGCTCCCTTTTAAAAAATCCTCTAACACCTTAACATCCATTTTCAGAGCAAAAAGTCCAAGCTCCTTGGCATGCTCCACAAAGCCTTCCATAATCTAGCCCTTTCCTTTCTCTCCAGTTTAGTCAACATCTGCTTTATTTCTCTGTGTATTAATTCATGTTGAACTTTTAAGTGGCCTCGCACTCTGATCAAATCTCACTACCTTTTTTTTTTTAAAAGACATGGTCTCACTATGTTGCCCAGGCTGGCCTTGAACTCACAGCAACCTCCTACCTCAGCTTCTCACATGCTGGGATTACAGGCATGTGATGACTTCTGATTAAAATACATAAGAGGTTTTTTTCTGAATTAACCAGATGTGATGTTCCTTCAGTGTTCATATCATACCTTCGCATAGCTCTATCATTAGTTACACCGTTATGATTATCTCTGAATATGTCTGTATCTCGCACTAGAATGTGATCTCCTTGTGATCAAGGAATATCATCTCATTTTTTTGCTCCAGTGTTTAAACAGTCTGAAAATAAAATAAACATTCAGTAATTGTTCCATGACAAATATTCCTAACACTACCTTTAAAACTCTCAAAAGTATTTGCCACCATCTGTAATCATGGGTGGTGGAACCTTTTGTATCAGGGTAATGTGATCACTTGGCATACTTGGTGGCACTTACTGCCCCTGGCAACAGAATGAAGGACGCGTCTATTATTCAAACAAATGCAAGGGTCACAGCTCCAATGAGAACCTTTATCCAATCACTCACTTTGAGAGCCTTTTATGAGCAAAGCCCTGCTATTGACATTGGGGAAACAACAGTGAATTAACAGAAAAGGTCACTTTTGGGCCAAGGATTTAGCTAAGTGGCATAACCACCTGACTGGCAAGCTCACAGTTGTGAGTTAGATCCCTGGTACCAAAAGAAAGAAAAAGAAAGAAAGAAAGAAAGAAAGAAAGAAAGAAAGAAAGAAAGAAAGAAGGTCACTACTCTTCTGGCACTGTTATCCTTGTGGGAGGAGATAATTAACAAATAAACAGGGTAATTTCAGATGGCAATAAGTACAACTTAAAAAAAGGGGTAAAGGGGCCTACTTTACATAGCGTGATCAGAGGAGGCCTCCTTCCACAGGAAACACTGAGGGGAAGCCTAAAGTGGTATGAGATTGGTAGGAAAAGCATCACACACCGGGGGGAGTGTGTCAACCCTAAGATGGAAATGAGCATGGCATGATCAAGTTATCAATAGCCAGTTTAGCTAAACAGTAGGTGAAAGGAAGAGAAAGCATCTGAGGACAGAAAGGTAGGGGCCAGATTGGGTAGGATTAATTGGGCTACATAAAGGTGTCTTTTTTTTTAATTGACAGACATTTTACTTTTTAATTTATTTTGAAAATAGTAAAATCCAACAGAACAAAGCCAATCGAAACAATGCACTGAAGTTGGTACAGAACTTCAGAGTAAGGATACCGGGATAACAGTAATGGGGTACCACAGTATATCTTGTTATCTTCACAATAGTTGTCCCTTCAATCAGGTATACCCAAATCAAACCCAAAACAAAACATTATAAAACCTGTCAAAACAGAATAATGAATAGAGCAAAACAATCAGAACAAAGCAAACCAGTGAAAACAATATTGACCTTCAAACAGAAGATAGAAGGAAATCCCCCGTATTTGCTATATTGTATACCATCATGCTCCCAGTTGCTCAGGAGGGTGTGGAGGGGGACAGGGAGGGGATGGGATGTTTGATTCTCAGCCATGTGCCAGTAGGCTCACAGGAGAAAGTGTCTGTCTTTAATGATTATTCAGCCAGTTCTGATGAGTACACTGCATGGGTGAAGATAAACGGAAAGTGGGATACATAGGAAGCACTGAACACAAAAGGTGATGACTTGGAAAAGATTTTTGCTTTAAGGAAGATTAACTAGAATAATGTAAAATTAAGCCTAAATTCAATGTGATATATAAGCAACATATAATACCTATTGTTATTCATTTGTATTTATGGGAAAGTATTTCTTGTTGAATATATGTAAATATCAAAATCCTTGGACAGTGATTCAAGCATAAAATGATCACAGTACTCAAAATGTAAGAAGTAAAACCCTATTCACTACTATTATTGTTGTTATGATTAAAAGACAAGGTCACTATATTTCAAGCTGACCTCAAATAATCCATCAGCCTCAGCCACATGGGTGGCTGGCAAAGTGCATGCCATTGCATCTATCTCTGTGATCAAGTTTGCTGAGCCTGCATGGAGAAAATGGACTAACAGGTTAATCACAGAATATTAGATCTGGAAGAGATCTGAGATAAGTTCTACCCTTCACTTAACAAAACAGCAGCCCAACTAAACAGCTGTTCCTCCTAAACTGAAGGTGGGAAGATAATAATATTATTTAGCCAAGGACACACGATGAGCAGCTAAAGACTTTTCATTAACAACATAAAACCAAATGTTTTTAATAAAACGACTATCTGGGCAGCACACTGATGTGTTACGCTACGAAATGTGTAGTATTTACATAAAGCCCTCCATACAGTCATTTGTTCAGAGTAAATGTTCGATAAACAGTAGTTAGTATTTTAATCTCTAGGAGAAATCTGAGTCTGCTGCCTATCTGATAGCAATTACTGAAAACTGGTACTCAACTTTAATATAACTCAACTCTGATTTTCTAGATGAAAAAAGTGAAGTCTAAATGTGCAGATAAGTCAGGTGTGGTGGCACAGTCCTGCAGTCCCAGATACTCGGAAGGCTGAGGTAAGAGGATCACAAATTGAAGACCAGCCATCCTGGACAATGAAGCAAAACTTTATCTCAATAAATATAAATAAATAAACATAAACAAATGGGTAAATAACTTATAAAACCACCCATAGTGAATGAATTAGAAACCAAATCCTGAATACCCAGGCCAGTTTCTACTACACTACACAGATCTGTAGTTTAGGACAGTATTTCAAACTTCATAAAAGGGTAATAAGAATTGTAAGCTACTGTACCTGAATTTTTCAACCCTTTTATTAAAATTACCATTGAGCTAAGAATTTAATATATAAAAGAATCATCAGCAATGAGATGGTGAATATATAGGCCATGCGTAAACAACAAATAATAATAAATTTTACCTTGGACATCTGATGGATAAAAGGCTGAGCTGTTATATGCACTAAGTAGAGACCACGATGTCTCTTTATAGAATATAAAAGAAAAAAATGTTATAAAACATTTTCCAAGGCACACTTAGTGTCTGACAACAGCTGTGGGTCACATAGCAAGGAGGGACACCTTCTGGCGTACAGCAACAAAATAGTTTGTTTTAAGCAAAGACTAATAGGAGTTTTACTAAACAGTACTGAAAGACCAAGGGTAAGCCACAAGGTAGAACTGTAGCAGCCAACTGAAAAAACTTCACTTTTCAGAGGGAAAAGGCTAAGTTTGAACTTTCAGGCCCTTTTGCCTATGAAATTAGGGTGCAGTCCTCTTCAACTCAAATGTTTTCAACAAACCATGTCGGAATGGGAGAATTCAGTCCGTTTGTGACGAATTAAACTCAACTGAATATATGCACTTTCTATGACGAACGTAATCATGTGCTGCAAACGTACTAATAAAAATAGATTTTGAAAGAAAAATGAACAAATATTTTTGCAAAGTTGTAGGACTTTAACTGTTTTCAAAAATTCTATAGGAGGATGCAGAAGAATGGAGTTTACGTAGTGCACGACCCAAAACCAAAGAGGATGAGTTAGGAAGAGTTCAAAAGGAAGACCTCACAAGGTGGCGTTCAAGACAAGTGCAGCAAAAGTGTGGGGATAAGAAGTGTGGAGTGGGCGAGCATTCTGAAGACCCGGAAGAAACCGAGAAGCAAACGCCAGTCTCTCCACGCGCTCGGCAGGCGCCAGGCGCACCCTCTCCCGAAGGGCAGGCGCCACGGTCTCCTACCGGCTTCGTTCCGCCGCGGCTCCCCTGCCCATTCTCACCTTGGGGACTTCACAACTCTTCCTCAGAGAATCCCATCAGACAGGACAGAGAAAAAGTGATTCCTTCTGAAGAGAGCCTGTAGGCCCACGACCTGATCGCCCAGTCAGCCGGAGCCTCAGGCCACCGCCAGGCCGCATCCCCATGGAAACGCCGCGAAGCGCAAGTTCGAACGCCCGCGCTGAAACCCGCGCGCCAGCGGTCTGGCACACCCACCAATGGACATGCAGGGATCCCGTGACGTTTACCATTTCTCCACCAAAAGCCAATCACAAATCGAAGGAAACAATGGGCGTTAACTCTTCAGCCAGTCCTTCTGCTTGAGTGAAGGTATCGCGATATTCTCAGCGAGCCAAAGGCACTCTAGAGGCGGGAAAAAAACTCCTGCTGCCCCATTCTGTTTGTCGCCCGAAGCGCAGCTGAGCTCTTCTAATTGGTCAGTGTACTGCCGGTCTCCGTTCAAGGCCCACCTCTGCCTCCATCGGCTTCCGGTGAGTACTCTGAGCCAACCTGGGTTTCATTTTTCGTGGAAAAGCTGAGGTTTAGAGTAGTGGGAGTTTGCTACTGACTAACCACCCTTCGCTGCAGAGTCAAAGGTCGACATACCGTTTTCCAGGATAACTTGAGGCGTGAATCGGCCAGGCCTAATCTCTCGCAAACCCTAGTTCCCGTCTGCACCGGCTGACCGGGATGGGATGTGGTCGGGGTTTCAGTGGTCAGATGGTGGTGAGCGGGGTAAGGGGGTCATTAGAATTACAGTGACTGGCGAGGTCCGAGTTGAGACTTAGCGGTTCGGAAGCTATACCTTCTCTTCCCTGGACCCGGGTTTTTCTTTCTTACCTGTTAAACCTCCAAAAGAGATGCTGCTTTCCAAAAGAGATTTTGTATTTTCTAATCGCTTCAAAACTAGATGTGATGCATGCCTATAATCCCAGATTTCTGGGCGTCTGATGCAGGAAGATTGAAGTTCAAGCCTAACCTGGGCAATTTAGTGACTTAGTGAAATCATACATAAAAGTGACAGTCAGCTGACACTGGGTGTGGTGGTGCATGCCTGTAATCTCAGCATTCAGGAGACTGAGGCAGGAGGATCACTGTGAAGTTGAGGCCAGCCTGGGCTACATAGTGAGTTCAAGGAATTCTGAACTACATACCAAGACATGCCCCCTTCCCACCAAAAAAAATGCTGGGACTGTAGCTCAGTGCAAAAGCTCTGAGTTTGAGCCCCAGGACTTGTGCCCTCTCAAAAAAGTCATCTTTACCAAATTACAGCCCAACCTAAATCAAAGGCCTTGTTGCCTACAGACTATAAACTGTACCAGTAGAATGTCTTGAGGGACTTTTCACATACTCTGCCCTGTACCTAGAGTGCCTATTGTTTCCATTTTTATTGTGCCTGCCAAACTCCTAGCCATTCTTTAAGGTCCTTCTGAGGAACCCTTTTGACCCAAGATGTTTCCTCACTACCATTTCATCTTACAGGTATCCTGCTGATGCACAAACCGCACAGTAACTTTACCTGTCTGAATGTCTTCTCCTGTCATTAAGCTGTGAACCCCTAGAAAGTCAAAGTTTTGCAGAATTTAACTTCATATCTCCCTTCAGTCCTGTCACACTATCTGTTGCATAGGGGTATCTTGAAAGACGTTTAATGAGTGAAGGGTTACTGGTACATTTGGGTTCTAGTATTAGAATTCTCCAAATTTGCTTCCCAGAATTGAACAGCAGATGGCAGTAATATGCTGCTTAACAAATCTTCCCTGAGAACAATTTTTGTCCAACCTTGTCTGACTTTGGCCTCATCCTAGAATCCAATATGCCATTACAAGTGACATTCCTGTTTCCTTCTTCAGTCAAGCAGCAAAGATTGCAAAATGACTCAGCAGCTTGGTCTGTGAGATGAAATTGGCACATACTTAAGGATGGGGCACTTGAGAGACAGTTTCCTTTATTCACGTAGTAAGGGTCTTTTTTTCTTTTTCATTGTTATTTTTTCCTTCTCTTTGTTGTTGTTATTACAAGATAGAACTTTATTCGTGGATGTGTGCCTCATTGCTGCTGATTCCAAAAGGGGAGAAGGAAACTGGCTAACAGGGTGATTGTGAGGTGGGAAGCGAGGGAGAGCTGAGCAATCACTCTGCCTGTGAGCAGGCAGAGGGGATCTTTCTCCTCGCACCGAAGGCACTGAGCAAATTTTCTGGACACCACATTCTTATGTTAGGTGTCTGTGTGCTTGTCCAAGGCTAGTATCAAGACTGGTGCATCCCTATAATCCCAGCACTTGAAAGGCTGAGGCAGGAAGATTGCCGTTAAGTTCAAGGCCAGCCTGAACTACATAGTGAGTTCAAGGACAGCTGAACTACATAGCGAGACTGTGTCTCAAAGAAAAAAAAAGAAGGGGCTGGGGATTTAGCTCAGTGGCATAAGCATCTGCCTTGCAAGCGTGTGGTCGTGAGTTCGATCCCCGGTACCGATAAAAAAGAAAAGAAGAAAAAAAAGAGGGCCAGGGATTTAGCTTTGTGGCATAAGCGCCAGCCTGGCAAGCGTGAGGTCATGAGTTTGATTCCTGGTACCACCAAAAAATGAGAAAAAATAACACTGTGCTCAGTATCTTGGTGCTTTTGAATCCCTGGGCTATTGGTTATGGCTTTGAAAATGTGGTTTTAAGCTCCTACTTCCCAGAGAAGAGCAGTAGAAGCATGGAAACCTTTATCAGACAGGCACTTTTGGTGTCCTTAGTCTGTATTGTCCACTCTAGTCTCCTCTGGTGTCCAAGGCACCAAGATCTTAATATACTGTTCCCTCCTCCCCAAAACCTGTTAGGGAAAAGGTTATCAGCTACACATCTAATCTCCAGATGATGATAGGCTAGAAGTTTTGAAACAAAATGATTTTACAAATTCTTCGTGTGTCCTCTTTCAGGCCCATTTGTACCCCAAGCCCTATTCTTTCATGGCTAGCAAAGCTGGTAAAGGAAAAAAAAATATGACTTTGGAAATAGACACAATTGGCTTCAAATAATTGCCTTGGGCAAGTATTTTAACTTTTCTTAATAGATCAATTTCCTTATAGATTCCTGGTGATAATAATCTTGTCTTGAAGAGTTGTCTTGAGCATAAGATACAATAGTTTAAAGCCCTCGAACAGTGGAGCTGATGCCACATTCACATTCTGTTCATAACATGGTGGCAGGAAACATTGTTTATGCATACAGAGATTTAAACTATGAGGGGCAAATCAGGAGGAGGATTTGGGGAGCCCTTTCCTTATCTGAAAGTGTATTTTTGAGGCTGCAGGTGTGGCTCAGTGGTAAGTGGAGCGCTTGCTTCCTGTGCTTACGGCCCTGGGTTCAATGCCTGGTACTGCATAGGTAAGTAAGTAAATGTGTATTTACAGAGGCTTTGGGGGATGAACAATGCTTGCAGTAGCACTCTGATTAATTTGATGAAGACGTTGGAACACATCAGCATAGCAATTTATCTATAAATTCTTTTTTGGCACTAAAGTCCCAAACCTCCTAGGCCATAAGGGAATTCTATCTATAGAGAAAGCCAAGAGCACTTTTTCTTAGCTTCTGGAACCTTCTGATGACATTGAAGGGTTTTTTGTTCTGGTTTTTTCTAACCACCTCAGGCACTCTGCCACTTTTCTGAAGTGCGAATTGCCTGCTGTCAGCCTAGAGTTCTCACCTCCACAATCCTGGCTGCAGGCATATTTGCATATTGGATGCTGTGTTCTTTAACCCCCTGAGGTTTGCATCCACTTGGAATCTGTGTCAAAATTGGCTGCTCTCAAACCTCCAGACAGTTTCAACTCCCTGGTCTTCAGAAAACCCCCAACAATAGCTCCATTGACTTTTATGTAAATGGAACTCTTCAGGAAAACACTGAGCTGTTTCCCAGGGTCCCAGAACGTACTCAAACATTTGTTTGAGTGGGAGGTGGGAAGAGCGGTCTGTTGATTCAATGAACATCTGTTGAGAGCTGCTGTACTGGGTCCCAAGGAAACAGAGCTCATATTCTGGCTCTTCTCCGCTAGATACCAAGAGAGAATTATTGTGCAGGTACTCGTGCTTACGATGGCTTCGTACTGTGTCCCTTGAGCTAAACTGGAAGTATATTTCTTAGGATTCCCTTCCTCTCCTGTTCCAGGTCAGCACTGACCACAAGAAAATTTTGTGTAAGGTAAGAAAGCTGAAGTAAGCACTGAAGGACGGAGCTGGCTGTAAGGCGTGGTGGTGATGCATAGGCTTTGGTACTGGTTGGCCACTGACAGCGTTCTGCCTCTGTGCTTAAGCCCTGTAGTAGAAATCTGTGAAGTGTTTAGAAACCAGAGAGCTGCACAGGGAAGACAGCATCTGAGAGGACTAGAAGGGTGCTTGTATAGTGTGTATGGGGAAGGAGGAAATTTTAACAAACAGCTGGCGTAAGCTAAGCAATTGAAAAACAAAAAGCTAAGCAATTGAAAGGGAGTAAGGAGTCCCACTTTTCTGGTAGCATTAAGCTTTCCATTGTCCATGTCACAGATGGACCATGAATTTCTGATCCTGGCTCTTCTGATTCCATTGAGATTAACTTTTCACTGATCTAGTTCTTAGATGCAGTCATTCCCAGTGACCACACTGAAATACATTCTCACTAGACTGTACCCTGTCACCACCCTACAGTTCTCCCCTCACCCCTTGCCACATAGCAAAATACTGTCATGGTGTCCGCTCTCCCGTAGCTCCAAATGGCTACCTAAGGCCTAACGTTTTTATCTCTTGCGGGCGTGTTTCCTTCCCCAGCTGTATGGTGGTAGCAGTGGCCTAGAGGGACACTCTGGAGCTTCCTTTCTTAAGCAGGACACTGTGTCCTCTAATCTTGGAACCCTAAACTTATCCTGGGGCTCCAGCATTTGTTTTGTTTGGCTCTACCTGAGGCAAGAGCAAGGCGTGTTACATCTGTCATTTCTAGTGTTCTCTGGACATCTTTAGAGGAAGATACAGACCAGTGGGCTGTTTCTGTCTGAACTGTGAGCCAGGAAATCAAAGCTTTGTTCTCCAGTTCTGTGGTGATAGTGCTTCGTGCTTCCTTTTGGCTTCCAGAACTGGAAATGTTTTCAGTATAAGTAAAGCATCCAGGAAAATAGAGCATAGTATTTAATAAAAGCCTATCACTACTTTACCTATGAATTTTACCTTATTATATATACTATTCTGAACTATGCTTTTTTTCACTTAAAATGTCTGAATATCTTTTCTTACAAGCAGCACATTTAGTTCTCCATTTTTAATGACTTTACAATATTTTATCATAGATGTACTACAATAATTTTTTTTTTTTTTTTTTTTTTTTGTCTCTTTGAGACAGAATCTCACTATCATTTCAGGCTGGCCTTGAGCTCACTTTGTAGCCCAGGCTGTTCTCAAACTCAAAAGGATCCTCTTGCCTCAGCCTCCCAAGTGCTGGGATTATAGGTGTGTGCCACCATGCCTGGCTTATAGACACATATTTGTTTCTGCTTTCTTTTCGTATAATGCAAACAGGTTATAACAAACATCCTTATCTATATATCTTAGATATTTCTGTATGAGAATCCCTAGAAATGGAATTGCTAGGTCTAAAAGAATGTGCATTTTGTTTTCATAATTATTATTAAACTACCTTCCTACAGGGGAGATACAAGCTCACTCAGCCACCGACAGCGTCTGAGAGACCAGCGGTGGCAAACCTGTGGTACAGGTGCCGCATGGGCTGTTAGTTATCACTGAAAGCTTTCTAAGGCTTGGATCATTTCAAAACTCCCATTTGAGTGCATTTTCAGTCCTTAAAAATACATTTTGCTGGGCTTGGTAGTGCACGCCTATAATCCTAGCACTGAGGAGACTGAGGTAGGTTGAGCCCCACAAGTTCAAGGCCAGTCTACATGGCTACATGGTCTCTCTGCAGTGAGATCTGTCTTTATAAAGAAAAACAGTTTTTTCAGGTTTAGGAAATGACATGGGACTGGGGATTTAGCATGATGGTAGGATAACTTGCCTTGCAAGCATGAGGTCAAGCCCTTGGGGTGAGGAAAAAAAAAGTTTGGAAAGGTCTTGGTGTTGGATGTTTGGTTTTCTAATGAGAAACCCTTTCCTAAAGTAACATTACCGTTCACAGTATTCTCATCCTGAGAATTGCCCTTGAACCCATTTCAGTTTGGGGCTGATTTTTATGCCTTTGACAGCCTAGGTCTTGTTTTTGCCGAGCACCAACAAAGTGCCTTGGAGGGCCAGCAACCTTCTCTGCAGGAGCTCTGCTATCTTGCTATCGCTGAGCTGGCTCCTCCTGTCCTGCTCATGTGACACTGGGCTTGTGCTGCCTGTGCTGCTCTCCCAGCCTTCACTGTGTTTAAGATACCTGGCTTGCTTTTGTTTTGCCGTCCTTGGGACCTGTGCCTGTGCTCTGCTCTCTACTTAAACTGCACTGTCTCCTGTTTCCCTTTACCGTATTACCCTTGACTCATCTTTGCTCCTCTGCTCAAATATCCCTTCTTTCAGGAAGCCTTGCATTATCCCTCAAATAAAGTCTGGCTCCTTGTCACGTTTTCCTTGGTAGCATGTACCTTATGACAATTATGTTTAAATGTGTTTGATTAGTCTACCTCTCCCACAAAATTATTAGCTTCCTGAAGGCAAAGGCATAGCACAGGGTTCAACATCACAGATACAACCAACCACACTGGAAAATACTAAAAAAAATTGCATCAGTACTGCACATGGACAGACTATTTCTTATCATTATGGCCTAAAGAATACAATTTTAACAGCATTTAGATTATACTAGGGATTGTAAGTAATCTGGAGATGACCTAAAGTATGCAGGAGGGCAGGAGGGTGTGTAGGTTATATGCGAATACTAGGTTATGAGATTGAAAAACTGTGGATTTTGGTATCCTCATGGGGTCCTGGAAGTGGTCTCCCTGGATACTAAGGTGTAGTAGGTGCTCAGTATTCACTGAATGAATGACGTGAATGTTTCTGTAGCAGGGCCATAAGTAAAAGGTCGTCCACATTTTTTGTTACTTTGATTACTCGTGTCCCTGTGGATAAGACATTTTTTATAGAAATTTTGTTTCTATTTCTGTAGACATTCTTACTTTCCTCCTGTATTTGTCTTTCTTTCTTGATGTTGTCATTTACCTTTTTTTTGAAATGGAAAATATTTTTCTAGACAGAGTCTCATTATCCATAGTGAGTTCAGGCTGTAGTTAATATTCCTTGTGAAATTCCAAATAATACAGAAATATATGGAATAGAAGATAAAACTTTCCCAGTAATGTCATCTTACAGAGATCACTATTAATGAGATATTTTTCTGCACGTGTAGAAATGCCAGTTGTGAACATCTGTAATCCTAGTTACGTGGAGGCAGCTACAGGAGGATTGCAACTTTGAGGCCAGCCTGGGCAATTTAGTGAGAAACTCAACAAATAATTTAAAAAGGGCTGGCAGTGTGACTCATTGGTGGAGCACTTGCCTAGCAAGAAGCCCTGGAGTTCTGTAGCTCAGTACTGCCCCCAGAAAAGAAAAAAGAAAAAAATATACATTGATTGCATTATTCAGATCTCTTTACAAAAATTAAATCCAGTAGTCTTCACAGCAACATTCCAGGTAGCCCAGTATCATCCCACCTCACAGATGAGGAAGGGTGGTTCATGCAAATAAAGGTCAGGTTCATGATGTGGACCACTATGGTAGTCTGCCTCTGCTGGGGTGGGAAAGAGATTTTTTTCCTTTGGCCTGTCTGAACTTTAGATTTCAACCATGTGAATATCTAGCATGTTAAAAAGCCCAGACAGCTGGGCCATGTGGTACACATTTGTCATCCCAGCAATCAGGAGACTGAGGCAGGAGGATCATGAATTCAAGGCCAGCCTGGGCTGTATAATGAGATCCTGTCTCAAAAACCCAAAGCACGCCCAGGATGTAGCACTGTGATAGACTGTTTGCCTCCCATGTGCTAATGCCTTGGGCTTAGTAGACAGTATCAAAACAACAAGGGTAGCAATGGAAAACAAAAGCAAAACATGGATAAAAGACAATCTCAGCAGAGTACACTACAGTAAGGTGCTAAGCTGCCTGTTTTAGGAAACCCCGCTGAGCCATCACAAACCCCACTCTTGAGTCTGGGTTTCAGGCCCAGAATGTAGGTTGTAGGTTTACTTCCAAGGATCTCGTTTTATGCACCCACACATTGTGTTTTACAGGAGACCAAGAGGACTGAGGTAGAGACCACACTGAGTGAGTGTGGTTGCCGAGGTCCTGCAGTCACACACAAAGGTCTCATCTCATTCCTGGATTTCCTCTGCTGGCCCTTGGCATGCTGCCCCTTTCTGTGGGTTATGAGGTCACTGTTAGCTGGTGTGTGCTACTCGCCAGCACCCAGGTAGATATTCTTGTTTCATGAGATGTCACTTCTATGTTAAGTTCTTAGGTAATCTATGGCTCTGCGAGCATGTGGTTTGATCGTCTTTCGAAGACACTGTATTCCCAAGATGGACAACAGTACAATTGAGTTTCTTCTGCTACAGGCATCAGATGGCATTCATCACTGGACCCCTCCCAAAGGTTTGAGACCAGAGGGGTGGGTCTTGGGGAAATGCAAGCGTTGCTCAGAAATTCACCCTGGACTGGGCGTGGTGGTGTGTGCTTGAAATCCTAGCACTTGGGAGGCTAAGGTGGGAGGATCACTCTTGAGTTTGAGGCCAGCCTAGGCAACATAGTGAGTTTAAGACCAGTCTGAACTACATAGCAAGGCCCTGTTTCAAAACAAAACGAAATCCACCCTACTGGACCCCCTAAAACACTTGTTCCCAGTGACTGTGCAGTAGGAGAAGGTGGGGTAGGCAAAAAACCCTCGATCCTTTCTAAATACAAGGTCTGCAAACCAGCCAGAGCTGGAAATAGAATTCTGTGACTGAATCCCAAGGCAGAAGCGGCAACTGGTGTTTTCTTGAGTATCATTTACTATAGCTCCAGCCTCTGTAGTGAATGACAGCAGAGGAGAGAAGTCACATGACGAGGAATTGGGGAGGATGGGATCCAGTCATGACCAAACTATGTGTCCCCTCTGTGGGCTTTCCATTTTCTCTCTGTTAAAGAACAATTTGATTAGAAAATTCCAAGTTTTCTTCTGATTTCTACTCTGATTTCATTTGCTCAAGTTCCTTTGATGCCTTGTTCAGCATCTGCTGTCACTAGGTTTCTCTTTTGAACTAAACAGAGAATATGAGTTCTGGAGTATTTCTAAACATAATTGTATTTGGGGTTAGAAGGATGGAGGGAGGCTGAGGCAGGAGGATTGTGACAATTTTAACTCCTGCCTGGGCTGCCAGCTGAACTACATAGTGAGACCCTGTCTCAAAATTGCCTGCCCCCAAAAAGAGTAAGATGGATTCTATCTAATGGTCCTGATGGAGAAGTGCGGCCATTTAGGGAGAAATGGGCCATTCTTGCCTGACACCATGGGATTATTCCATCAGGTAAGGACAAATAGTGACTCTGGCACCTGCTGGGATGAGGAGCCCAGAGTAAACAGCCCCCAGATGAAAGGAGCACTGGGATGGAGAGAGGTGGACCAGGATGTAGAGTTGGAAGAAAATAAGGAAATGGTAACAGAAAACAAATTTTTGCACATTTGAGATACAAGGAAAAAAAGGTGGAGAAGAGACAAGTGTCATAAATACTATGAATAGGAATATTCGCACTTATCTCCTGATTGCCCAAGTCACACTGCGTGGTTCCTCTCACTGAAAGATGTAAAAGGACCTCTAATCACTTTCTGCTTGAGCTTAGGGAGGAGTTACCCTATTAGCGCTGATGGGCAGAAAACTAACCAGATATTCCTGGGAGGGGTGTACTTAGAAACAGGTTCAGACAGGGTAGTTTAGGGTGGCCTTAAACTCACTATGTACTCCAGACTGGCCTCAAACGTGCAGCAATCCTCCTGCCTCAGTAGTGAGTTCTGGGATTACAGGTGTGCACCATGACGGCCAGCAGAATGGCTCTCTAAGTGGCAAGCTCCTGGTTTTCTGCATGCTTTAGGTTACTGCTTTGTGAGCCCTGGGAAAAAGAGCTGGTAGGATACAGCTCCATCTCCAAACAAAGAAGGGAAAACCTCAAGGTTCTTGTTCTACATGAGCTCCCAAACCAGGAGGCCCCCAGTACCTTGCCTGAGCCGTGAGTTGACAGAGAAACCTTTCCTTCCCAGAGCTTATGGGCCCCTTTGGACATGATGAGTCTTTACAAGAAAGGCCAAGAAGTGAAGCTGAGGACTGCTCCAGTCTGCAGAGCCTCAAGTTCTCCTACAACAGTTTCTTGGCAGCCGCTGGCTGCTAAATTGTCTTAGAACTGGCTCTCAACTTGTCCTTAGTCTAAGTTCCCACCAGGATTTTCCCTACGAACCTGAAATCTGGCCTTGCTCAGTTAGAAAGATGAAAACAATTTGGAAAAAGCCTTGATGGTTACATGGAAACACCTGCTGGTGTAGCAGCACAGAATTCTGAGCCTGTGTGTTGGACCCTGGACTTCAGGGACTTCAGGACTCCTTGTTCAGCCAGCCCCTTCCCTGCCAAGAAGGAACTGCCCCTCTTTGGAGCACTCGCGCTATGGTCTCCTTGAGGAAGTGGTCCCTCAGCGCACAGCAGAAACAGAGCACCAGTGAGTAAGGAGGCAGGGGACTGAGGAGGCCTTTCTGTGGAAAAGCAGTACTCTAGCCTGACTTGCTAAACACATGGTCTGTTTTACTCTACAAAGAAAGTGGAGTGGGGATTGCTCAGACCCCAAGAGCCAGACACTACCCGTCTTGCACCCCTTCCCAGGCATGTTAGGGTATTGCCAATCACCAAACTTCCCTTAAGCCAAACCACCTAGGAAAATCACCAAAGTACCTATCATTAAATCATGTAGCCTGAAAAAATCCAGCACCAGAAACTGCTGCCCATTTACTTCTTTTCCTTTTCTTTTTCCTTTCTCCTAACCAGGCCACGTGAACCCGGGAGAGAATGACTTAGAAACAGCCCTGAGGGAGACTCAGGAGGAAGCGGGCATAAAAGCAAGCCAGCTGACCATCATTGAGGGGTTCAGAAAGGAGCTCAATTATGTGGCCAGAGGAAAGCCCAAAACAGTCATTTATTGGCTGGCAGAAGTGAAGGACTACAATGTGGAAGTCCGTCTCTCCCCCGAGCACCAAGCCTACCGCTGGCTGGGGCTGGATGAGGCCTGCCAGCTGGCTCAGTTCAAGGAGATGAAGGCAGCATTCCAAGAAGGACACCAGTTTCTCCGCTCCACAGTGTCCTGAGCAGGCATTTTCTTCTATAGCTTCCTCGGGGGACTTCGGAGATTAACCTACCCTCAGCCTAATCAAAAGGTGTGCCTATCTGGTTTGTAATCACCAAGAGGGGATGAGTTAGTGGAATCAGTTTAGAGCTCTCAGATAAGAGCAAACAAGAATTTGAACTGAGTGAAAAGACAGGAGGAGTAGAATTTATTGTAAGAAGGCCATGCCCAGGAAGTGCGTTCTTCTACTGTTTAAATAAACCTCCAGCTGCTCGCTTGTCTTTCCAATCTGTGTTTATTTCCTACACTGTTTTGGGGCAGGGAGGTGGAAAGAGTAGTGGGGATTGAGCTTAGACCATTTTTGCTTTAAAATAAGCCCTCATCCCTTTTTGAAAATTTTGAGACAGGGTTTCACTGAGTGGCCCAGTTTGGGCTCTAACTTCCAATCCACCTGCCTCTGCTTCCCAGAGTTCTGGGATTCTAGACATGTCTCACCATGTCTAGAATTTCTTAGACTCTTGCCATTGGTGGCAAAAGCTCTACCTTTAATCTCTAGATAGGAAGAACCCTGTATCCAGGAACCACACCCCTAAAAAACTAAGGGGAAGGGAGTTCGAATGGGAGAGGCCCAGCACCACTAGGGAAATCTGCCTCTGAGCGCCAAGCACTCCACCCTGTTTGGAGTAGGCCACGTCTGATCTATGATAGGATTTCTAAACTAGCCAGAGGAGCACAGATACTGAGTTTGCTTGTTCAATGACCTATCTCTCCAAGCACCAGACACATCTCTTGTTGGGGCTCTGTAAATATGTCCTTAAGTAATTAGAGACCCAAGGAACTTTGGGTGGTTCTCCAAATGAGAAAATAGACAGCTCTGGCCCACTGCCCTCAGCTTGGGACTGCCTCCCAGAGTGCTAAGCCTTGCAGCAGGACTAAGGTCACCGGGAACAAAGCACAGCAGGCTCCTGAGGCTCTGCTGGGCCATCCAGCAGCCATATCACTACAGCTGTGCATTCCTCACCTGTGCCTACCTTTCTCCACTTCAGCAGAGCCTCAACATTGCTGTTTCTCTCTTCCCGCTTCCATCTACTCCTCCCTTTCCCCATAACTGTGCTGCAAGATTTGGGTCTTGGCCTTCTTTTCCCTTGCTACTAGGGTTCAGTGAATGCAGGGGCAGGTGTTAGATCACACAACCTTTCCAGAAGCTGTTACCAGCTGGGCACATCTGGATTTTATTAGGAGGTTGTTACCCAATGAGGTGCAGAAGATTGGAAGGGAAGGGCCGTTGGCAAAGGTCAACATGGATTACTAGATTCAAAAACAGCCGCTCCCAAAAGAAGGAGAGAGAAGTCACCCAGGTTTTAAGCAAGGTTCCAGATGTTTCCAGTCACTGGCTCTCTGTGCAGACAGGGCAAAAGTACTAGCTAACAGGATCTTGGAGCTCTGCCAAGGACCTAAATGGCTTTGTTCCTTGCCCCTCTGAGTAGCACTCTCCAAAGGAGGCCTGATGCAGGAAGTTTTTGGAGCTTAATGTTCTCTTCCAGGCCAGCAGGGACCATGTCCCACTGATTTAATAAATGCCTGCTGGGCAGTGATGCCAAACCACAGACAAGCTGCTTCCTAACAAGGCTTGGCCAGCCCTGTGCCTCAGCACAGGAGGCTGAGGTCTCAGCGCCGAGCCTCACACATCAAAGTGGGAAGGGCTAGAAAGTGACCTAGTTTGGCTGCTCACTCTTAGTGCTGGGGAACTGAGGCTTATCAGAGGCATGGTCTTGGCAGTTGTCTGTATATAGTGTCCTAGGTGATGAGGTGCCAGAGAAAAGACCACATTACACAGCTGTGGAGTCCTTCCTCTGGGTGTCACAGAGGTCCAGCAGAGCCTAGGCACGTCAGTGAGTGGGTTCCCCATAAACTACTCTTCGAAGCAGGGTGGGACTGGGGCCTGTTACAGCAGGTGAGTGAGGGCAGGACAGGGTGGGAATGGGACCGGGATGTGGCAGGTGAGTTGGGTTTGCCATCATCACTTTGCTTTTGGCCAGCTGGGCTGTTCGGCCTAAACAAGAGACCCCAGGGCACTTTGAAGTGCTCACCCAACACCCCTCTCAAACAGCAGAACAGCAGTCTATGATGCTGTATTTTGGGATGGCTCAGACCCAAGCACCTCAGCAGGGTTGCCCCTGCCCAGGAAGTTCCATGCTGAGAGTTCCATGCAGGTGATGCGCTGGTCAGGACTGGTCTGAAATGGGGAGAGACCCTCATCCCAGCCCCCTAGAGGGAATCTCCATGGGGAGGTGCACCACCTTCTGCTCTCAGAATCTGGAGTTCTAGAGTGCAATCCTTCCCAGGTTTTGTGGGTAGAGTAACAGTGGGGTACAGGACCAGGACCAGTAGACACACTGCTGATGGGGTCACCCTTCCACTCCACAGGGATCTTCCCTGGAGAAGACCTAGGGAACGGGACAGATAAAACTGTTACGTATTTATTGTGCACGACATGATGTTTTAAAGTACACATGTCAGCTGGGGCCACAGCTCAGTGACACAGTGCCTGCCTGGTTAGAGTGGGTAAAATGATAACTGTGAGGAAATGCAATGTTGATTAGCTGGATTTAACCATTTCATGATGTATTTATGAAATATTAAAAGTTATCTTGGTAAAGGACACATTGCCATTAATATTCCCTCTTGCTCCAAATTGGCTTACGCTATCATTTTTGCCACTTTCTGACGTGTTCTGAAGGTCCTCTTTCACAAGTGTCTGTGTTTGTATTGTCATAACTGCCCTCATGTCTTGAACTAATTCAGTTTCTTTCTTTGCATTGCTGGGGATTGAACACTTGTGCATGCTGGGCAATCACTTTACCACTGAGCCATAGCCACAGCCCAGAATTAGTTTAAATATTGCCCCTCATCAGCATTTTGACTTTAGGAAAGAGAAATTTGCAAGGTACCAGATCTGGTAAATAAAGGGGATGAAGACACACCATAATTGTTTTTCTGCTTGTTTATTTTTTGAGTCAGGGTCTCACTATGTAGGCCAGGCTGACCCCCATGGTGATCCTCCTGCCTCAGCCTTGCAAGTGCTGAGATCACAGGCATGAGCCACCATGCTGGCCTGTATTTGTGTTTTTGTTGTTGTTGTTTAGTTCTGTTTTGTCTTTTTCAGACAGGGTTTCACTATGCAATTCAGGCTGGCCTAGAACTCACTTGGTCACCTAGGCTAGCCTGAAACTCATCCTCCTGCTGTAGCCTCCCAAGTGTTGGGATCATATGTGTGCACCACCACGGCAGGCCTGTACTGTAATTCTAATAAGTGGGTGTGTGCGTGTTGCACTTGAGATTGAACCCAGCAGCTCTGCATGTGAGGTGTGTGCTCTACCACAGAGCCTCAGTCCAGGCTCCTGTTATTTTATGTGGAGATAAAGTCTCATTAAATTCCTCAGCCTGGGCTGGGACTTGCAATTCTTCTGCTTAAGCTTTCAGAGTAGCTGGGAATATGAGCATGTCAACACCAGACAAAGACATATTTGAAAAGAGGTTTTTTGTTCCTGTAAGGAAAAAAGAAAAAAAAAAAAAAACTAGTTTTGGCTTGAGCAGAAACTATTCAAAGTCCAACAAAGTTCTTCATGAGTAGATGCCATCTTTAACAGGAATTAAACTTCAAAGGCTTGGAGATAGGGAAGGAGGGAGTAGAGAGAAGGTAAACTACTTCAGTGGGAAAAGGTAATTCGGGTCACGGTTATTCTTTCCAGCAGTTAGACAATGCCTCAGGCAGAAACAGTGCATAAATCATGTTGGTTAAAGGGTGAAATAACCAAAGGTGACATCAGTCATTCAATAAACACTACAGCTAGAACTAGGATTCTGTTCCTCTATTTATTCTGCAAAGCTTCTTTAAAAATTGAAGTATAATTCACATATTATAAAGTTTACTTTTTAAGGAGTACAAGTCAGTAGGTGAGCCACAGTGGTGCACAACTGTATCCCAGCAACGCTAGAGGCTGCTGAGGAAGCCTGCAAGTTCAAGGCAGCCTGAGAAATTCAGAGATCTTCTCTCCAGATATGTAACAGATGGCAGGCGATGTAGCCCAGTGATAAACCATACGCCTAGCAAGGAGGAGGCTGTGGCTTCGATCCCCAGCACCTCTCCCAAAGCACAATTCAGTCTTTTTAAATTTAAATTTTATTTTGAGATAGGATCTCAATATGTAGTTCAGCCTGCACTGGCCTTCAACTTGTGGTGATCCTTTTGCCTCAGCCTCCTAAGAGCTGGGATTACAAGAGTGCACCATGCCTAGCCTGTTCAGTGGTTTTTAGTCAATTCACAATTTGTCTCTAAATTATCAACACTCTTGAAAGGAATCCCTGTACTCACTGCCAATTACTCTCATTCACTCTGCCCCATGTCTCCCTTGTTTGGCTGCTACCTGCCTACTTTCCATCTATAAGTTTGCCTATTCTGGAAGCTTCATGTAAATGGAATCATATACTCTGTGGTCTTTCATGTCTGGCTTCTTTCATTTAGATGTTTTCAAGGTTCTCATCCATGTTGAAATAAATATGCATTGTTGCCTCGGTTCATTTTATTACAACAGCTTCACTGATTTATAATGGTAAATCACACCTTCCCTGGCTTGGCAGGGAATGACCTTGAGATGCAGACTGGGCTCTCCGGGCGTGTAACCTTAAAACTAAAGTGCTAGAGTTGCTTTTCGAGGTGTTCCACTAGACTAGGCCAGTCATAAAGGTGAGAATTCCAAAAGATAAGGATGGGAGGGGCTGGGGATTTAGCTCAGCGGCATAAGCACCTACCTTGCAAGCAGGCAGTCATGAGTTCGATCCTCGGTACCGATAAAAAAAAAAAAAAAAAGATAAGGATGGGAAACCAAAGAAATTTGCACTTGTGAATTTTATTTTATCTTTTGGTACCAGGGATTGAACTCAAAACTTGCAAGGCAGGCACTTACGCGACTGAGCTAAATCCCCAGCCCTAATGCTCGTGAAACTTAGACCTGAAGTATCTGTTGCATAATCAATCTACTTAATGGAATCAAATTTTTAGGGAGATCCACCAAACTTCACTTTAGGTCAGGCAGCAGTCATACCCCAGAGGGTGTCGGTCCAGCATAGCTCCAGTGTCCTCCACATCTAGCAGCAGACACAAAGGATAGGGTACCATGACATCATCATCCCAGGAAACTCAGAGAAGGTTTCCTTCCCCAGTGATGAATGTTTTAGAGGTGAGAAATTTGGTTCCCCAAATGTGGATCAGTCAGGATTTTCACCAT